TTAATTAGCCAAGTTTAGATAATTTACTCACAGATGCATATATTAAATTATTTCTATATCTATCATACCAATTGCTCTACCACTACCAGCCATAATTTGATGTCCTTATGCAAGCAGGCCAAATTGAGGACACAATTACTAGATCTAATTGCGCATAGTTTCAAGGAACTTTGAACCAAATTGGCCGAGCAAGCGATTTGCACTTGTTGAACACATCAATAAAAATAACAAAATCGGATCCGCAATTGAAATATGCGGTTCGCCAGCTGGGGAACAGCTTAAGCTGGCGGAGCTAAGAGCAACATAGAGAGAGAGAGTGAGAGAGCGGGAGAGAGGGAGAGTGAACGCAACTAAAATAGAAATTCTAGTGCAAATGTTAAAAATTCTCGTGACATATCACAGGAATGTTGTCTGGCTGTCTCCATTGTCGTAGTCGTTGCCGCATTTGAAGCTGCTTCAAATAGTCGCAGCAGCTAAAACGCTTCCAGACACCGCTCGTCGCACCCCTCTCTCTCTCTCTTTCTCTCTCTATCTCACACGCTCTGTCCATGAATATTCTGCTGATGGCACCGAAAACCACAAATTCGACGACTATTGAAAAGTTGTTTACCTTGGACTAAATGCCCTGGTCAACAACTGGGCTGAGCTCTGAGTTGCTGCAGTGGGCTGACCATAAATCATAGCTGCTGGGTGGGCGTGGCGTTGGTTGGGTCTTCTAAAGAATTTCGACTGCTACTGCGATCGGCTTTCAACAATATGAATCATTTGCAAAGAAGAGGCTGCGGCTCCACCAAGACACCGACATCGGCACCGTCACCGACGCCGATGCCGACGCCGACGTCGAAAACAAACCTTTCCCTGAGCCTGAGAATGCTAATGGCCGTCAGGGTTCAGCTTTCAGTACGGGGCGTCAAACGGAAGCCGCATTAGTTACACATACAAATAAAAAAAAAAAATAAAAAATAAAAAAACAAGAAAAGAAGATATCAAAACGCACAGGAGAGACGTCCGACCCTAAAAATATATATGTATCAGGTGATTCAACCACTTGTCGACACTCAGCCCCAAGGCTATCGAAGCGAGGGACACGAGCCGCTCCGATGACACAAATGCAAAAGGAGCCTCGGCATTGGCTGGCCTTCAATTCGACTTTTTTCTCTCATAAGCATGTCACATGAAGAAGGCCACAGTAATAAGCATTAAGTAGGATCACGTATTAAAGGTGATGGCTAATCAAACTCCACTTACACAGACAAGAACAGATAGTTTCAGTATTTTATACTGTTACTCACAAAATAGTTGAAATATTTGTTGATTTTTATTTCTTATCAACAAGAATAAGTTTGGGGTATGTTATAGCTGATAAGGCAAGCCTGAACTATCGAGACCTCTTTTATACTATTAATTAACTAAAATAATAATAAATACTAGTATATTTTTGTACATTTATTTATATTCATAATTTAATATTTTGTGTATATGTATTGTATGTATGTATGTATGTATGTATGTATTGTATGTATTGCATTAATAAAATCGTAACTATTTTGAACTTGTAGTTTATTTTGTCAATATTTATGTTTGGCTGTGGATTTAAATGCAGCAGATTTTGAAACATTGCCAAAAAAGTGGCACTTAATTTTTGATACTGCCCGCTACGATTCGTTGCGAGCGCTGAAAAGCATTAAATATGCTGTAAAATGTTTATACTATTTTGCATAGACATCATTAAATTGGCAATTTAATGTCGTGTGGATCACGTTTGAGCTTTTTGTTTATTTTCTTTGATAAAAATGTTGTAAAATGTGTTTTTTTTTTCCCATAAACTTTTCTCTTTTAATTGACGCAAGTGCAGCTACCAATTGTCAGCCTGAAAAGTTTGTTTGATGTGCATAAAATGTCTTGAAATATTAAATAGACGCCGTTGAACTAAGTTACATTTAGGCGCGAGAAAATGTTGCAGCTGCAAAAAGTTTTCCAACTGCAGCAAAATTTATAAAGACGTCCAACTGTCAGCGCCATTCTCATGGCTGTCTGTCTAACAAAAAATAAATAAATAAATGAATATAAARCGAGCCAAAAGCTGCGCAAATGTGAATTTTAGTGATTTATATAGCATATAAGTAATATTGGGCATAAGAAATCATCTATCTATTTATAGAACGTCGAGGCGCTAGTATTTTCTTCTTAGTGTTGCTTACATTGTTGGACTTCAACTTTGTTCAGCAGTGTAGACTATTATTATGCCTGCAGACACACACATATATATTTATATGTTGCGTGTGCTTTGCATTTGCAAATTGATTTCCATGAGTCGTTTGCCGCCAAATCCGCCATCGCCGAAATAGCTCAGTTGGGAGAGCGTTAGACTGAAGATCTAAAGGTCCCCGGTTCAATCCCGGGTTTCGGCATACGGAACTTTTTGCAATTTATTTATTATTATT